GGGAACTGTTATGTCTCCCGGTTTGTCATACTATTCAAAAGACACCGAATTTATGTTACTTTACATTAGTTTTAGTGAATTACAGGTAATTGCAAACCTTTTTGAGTTGCGATTCGTATAAGAACTTAACGAAATTGGTCTCATCTTTGGTGCACTGACTCGTGAAGTCTAGCGAAGTGATGATCTCCTCCTCTGAAATGATGGCAAATGAATAAACACTGAGAAATAAGTAGTGTTTGTGTCATACCTTCACTTCTGGTGAGCATCTGGTGTTGAGTTAATGAATAGAAGGCTTCGTAACAGAAGACATCGTATTTGAGGGCCTCTTTGAAGCAGTTGATGGCAATCATGCGGTTGTCTAAGGCCTCATAGATCTGACCCTTCAGTAAAGCGATTCCACTCTTCCACTAATCATACAATTACTTAATTATCACTAAACGCAGCAAAACATAGACAACAATACCTTATTATCTTCTTCTCTCTCACCACCAGTGATGTCCATCGCTTTACTGTCGTTGTAATCAAATTCAAGCACTTCCAGCGCTTCCTTATACTCTTTGGCTGAGAACTACAGACATGAGAATGAGATATCATGTCATCGATGGTATGCTGTTATCTTACGTGACATTTGGCGACCAAATGGCGACACGAGAGCACCGTTTTGTGCAATTGTCTCGATTTGATACAATGGATGGCTCTGTGGAACTCATTCAAGTGATAGAAACAGATGGCCTGTTGGTAGACATCATCGGTGTGTGAGTCGGTCAGTGACACGATTTTGTCGCTCCAGAAGACGGCAGACTTGTACTGTTGGCCACAGATGTACTCATCCCTCATGTGTCGCAACCGGTCCACAGACAGACCCGACAGACACGCAGTCATCGATCCGTTCATCGCGTGGCTTATGTCTCCACTCATGAGGTCTTTCGATGTAATCCTTAATCCAATCTTCAATTCAATCCTTAATCCAATCCTTAATCCAATCCTTAATCCAATCCTCACTTCAAGTGAATTGACGTTTGATTTGAAATTCAAAGCAAAACACTATTTATTTTCAAAATAAAGTCATGTATTAAGGGATCGATTGGTAATTGAGTTGTGTTTGTATGACACACAAGAATAATGTCAATGTTATTCTACATTACCTGTACTGCACTGTACATGTACCTTACATGTACTAGCTCACTTGTAAATTGCAATCTTTTGTGATGTAATTCCCATTCCCTTACTGTACGGCTATTTCATTCAATTTTCAAACACAAATCCTATGAATATTTCGTTCATTACTGTCATTAGTATTGAAATTATCAGTTATTTATGCGATCATTAAATAACTATTTCATTCAATTCCTATTATACTGTAGTTTAGTATCAATTTCATTGAAACACTATTTCCTGCCATTGGGTGCCTTCAAAGCAAAGAACAAGAAATGAGTGGTGATGTGGGAACCACTTCTCCACCATTGGTGACAGGTGTGGAACCACCTGAACCATCAGGTGCCACAAGTGGTATACTAATTGAACCATTATTAGTGATGGCTGAAGACGTTAAAGATACGGCTCCAGGCAGTGGTGCAACCGCTGCCAAAACCGTAGCCGAGGTCGCAAATGAAGACTTTATGATGGGAGTGAAGGCTTGTGTGCAACCCATGATTGGAGTCGAGTTTTATCCGATGAAATGCAATCCTCGCGGATATTGTCTTATATTCAATAACTATGACTTTCCCCTCCATTCCTATGAGTATCCGCACAGACATGGATCTGTTGATGAGGCCAAACGCCTGAAAGATATCTTCGAACAGTTGTACTTCAAAGTGCAAGTTATGGACAACTCTGTGATGGCGGACACACTCAAGACTATTGAGGAATATTCCCAAAAAGAAGAACTCAAAAGACACGACTCTTTTGTTCTCATTGTCCTCTCGCACGGAAAGAGCGGAGGATTTATTAGTAATTATCTTAAATTATATTTAGGATTTTGAAACTTAATTTACTATAATTAATACTTAATATGTCTTGTATTTTAGCATCCGATGGACAGTATATCCCATTCAAAGAAGTGGTGGAACAGTTGAACAATAAGAACTGTCAGAATCTCATTAATAAACCAAAATTACTATTCTTCAGCTGCTGTCGCGGTAGTATGTATTGATTTGAATACAATTAATTCAATTTTATTGATTATTGAATTGTGTATTGAATTAAAGTTAACAAAGACTATGGAGTGGATCATACAGTGGAGGCATTGGGAGCGGCACTAGACTTAGACCACTGTAAGAGCGATGCGGGAAAGATCTTAATACCGGAGGAAAAGCCAAAGATTATGGAGAGATTTCCGATTGTCAGTGATATCATGATCTGCTACTCAACCATTGATCAGTACGTGTCGTGGAGATGTGAGAGTAAGGGCTCGTGGCTGGGGATGGCTATTGTCAAAGTACTCGCTAAATCATCGCACGAACTCGAATTGCCACAACTTCTCACTGAAGTATTTATTTAATTCACATTTTAAGACATTTTAATTTATACTAATTTATACTAATTTGTGATTATATTTGTGTAGATTACAAACCATGTCAACCAGAGAAAGGGAACAGAATATGGGGCCAAACAAGTGGTCGAAGTTATAATGAGAGGCTTTAAGAAGCGATTCCACTTTAATCCGGGTTATTGTGTGGGTTCGTCCACATCTACTAATTGATTATGAGCTCAATTTTGGACATCCATTCCTCCCATTCGTGCCTTAATTACAAATAATGAAATGTTTGCACAATTTATATTGATTTAAATCTCAATTTATTACAATTACTGTCTGCCTCTCTATTCATAATTAAAACTATAAACTATTCATACTATGAGATGAGCTTATATTTTGTCTAATTTTATCTATAATTTTGTTCATTTTTTTAGTTCTTAACTTTATAACTAAATTTTATAACTTTATTTCTATCAAGATACTGTATTTGTTTGCAATGAAATCAAAACCAATTTCTGTTTATTAATTATTTGTTAAAAGTATGTTATTTAAAAGCGCTCTAATTTCTATGAAGCACTTTTAATGAATTAATTTTAATAAGTACTGAACTTCATAAATTATATTTTAAAGGGCAATAAAATTTAACGCATTTATTACTTACCAATTAACATATTTTCAAATAAAGTACTTTTACAAACAATTGTTTTGTAATTATAATCTCAATATTTGTTAAATAAAATAGAAAAATATAATAAATGTGACTGTATTTCCACAATAAATACCAAGATGATAAACACTGGTCATATGATATGATTTAATAGTATACTGTACCTGGTCAAAGTTATTGAATTATTGTAAAAACTTTGCAAACTTGTATTCGTGTGAACAGTGGCTCCACTTATGGGACACTCAGTGAAACATAAGTTGTAAGCAAAGTGTTGACTCATTCACACATTCATTGACTGATCCACTCATTGATCACATGATGGCAGACAAGAAGGACACCAACGACTCCAAGACTGCCGTCGACTCCAAAGACAAAGACAATAAAGTGGACACAAATGACCACAAATTAGATTTGGGTTTACTTGAAGAGGACGATGAGTTCGAGGAGTTCCCGGCTGAAGGTATGTCATGTCATGTCAAGCATGTGTTCATTTGTCTCATAACTATGTTATCATTGGATCCGATGATAGTCTGGAAGGAGAAGTGCGAGACCGAGGAGGAGGTGAACCTCTGGGAAGACAATTGGGACGACGACAACATCGAAGAGGACTTCAGCAAACAGTTGAAGTAATGATCACTTTGTTTGCTATCACTTGTCATTTGATCTCATTATCAATGGTTTGGTGTTTAGGTCTGAATTGGAGAAGAAGTCGATCGCCTGAAAGGAAGTGTCCGTTTCATTGGTTTATAATTGATAACAAAACTACTAATGAATGCATTGTATTATAAATATAAATATAATTTCTCATTAAAACACTAATATTTTGACTCATTTTCACCACTGATTGCGATCGACAGCACTGTCCGGTTATACTGTACTGTGACAGTGAGCCGGGTATTAATTGGGCAAACAATGACATCTAATTGGTTTCATTCAAACATATGTGTCATTCAATTGTAGAAATCTTTGGTTGATTTACTTAGAAATGCATTAAATTGTGAATATTTTATTGAAATGATACCGTATTTATCACTTATGACTCATGAGTTATGAGTGAAACTGATCCCACATTCAAATGACATTAATATGGAGATCATAGATTGACAACACAATTATGAAACTCGTGTTTAAAGATTAAATCGAAGATTGAATTCGACTTTCATTTGTAATTGAAATTGAATGTTATGTTAATTATTTAATTGTTGATACAATTATCATAGGAACTAATGGTTTATTTATTTAAATCGTCGTATGGCTAGAAATTGAAAGTGTGTTTGAATGTAGATCATAAATAAATACAATTTAAATGATTATTACAGTGTATACTCATATCTCATTTAAATATTACTAATGAAAAATAAACTGGGATATGAATATTATAAATTTTTAAATATTTTTAAAAATTCAATTATATTCTAGATTCCAGAATCTGATTACATTACATTAAATTAAATATTGTTTTACTAGTTAGAGTTTTATTGAAAAAAATTAATAACTTATAAATCGTAAATGAAAGTGTGGCACAAATTGTAATTTGTACAAAACTTATTTTAGTGAATAAATGGTGCATGGCAAATGCAGTAGAAATCTTATAGCTTAATAAAATGCTAGAATTGAAGTGCATTTTTAAAAATTTATTAATTCTTAATCTATACATGTGTTTGTTTTTTATAGCTAAATAATGACCAGGATACACAAATTTATTTCAGTTTAATTGGGTATAAATTTAATTAATAAATGAGTATAATAACTTTTTGTGATAGATCCTGGTACAATAATTGTTTTATAAAAATTTAATAAACAAAATTATACCAGTATTAAGAATATACTATTTATAACTAGTGTTAAACTCGAAATAACTTTTAATCAATTACAATAAGTTTAAAATTTGATGTAAAACATAAAATTTAGTTCATTTAACATTATTTATCGCTAAATTTCATAAAACATTTCTCATTGTTCTTCACTAAATCTGATAAACAATTTATAAGATTTTATTTCACATTACATTATTCATTACATTATAATCTTTATGTCATTTTCTATAAATAGAGTTCAGAATTGAATACAATATATACTCAACAATCATATTCAATCATTTTAATCAATAGTCAATGAAATCAAAAATTATTGACTCGAATATGAAAATTGTTTGAAGCATAAAATATTTATCGCAATTTCAATAGAGTTTCAAATCTTATGTAAAAAATAAATTCAAAAATCAAGTGATGAATGCATAACAAAGCAGTCCAACCACTATTATATCGATCGATGTTTTCTCAAAATCTTTAGGAATTGGATTAGAAATGCATTCAATTTTCTTATTCCTATTATAAGTCTATTGAATATTCAAACCTGTATTTTGCTGACAAATATTATTTTACTCTATTGTGCGAAAATACACAGTAATTCT